TAATAGATTAAAGCGAAAACTTAAATAAAAAAGAAAATATCGTGTATTCTAACCATTGTAGCAATCGAATAAGTAGCCGAGTACATTGTTTTTGCGTGATGTAAAGTGTAGCACAAATCAATATTCATATCTCTACTCGTTCCTAATTCTTAGAATCTTGACTGGAATTCAAGACCAAAAACGAGTTCCATCTGATATATCAAGAAAAAAAAAAGAATAGAAACAAAAATATCAACTTATGTAATGAAACTTGTTGTTTACAATTAGATTCGAAGATTTTTTTTTTGTTTAAATTTACAATATAACTTAATAGAAGTTCTGTTCTTTGAAAGTCAGTCTTTAGTGAAACAATTGAAAATATTTCAAAATTTGATTTCAGATGAATTGGAATTCAAAGTTAAATTTTCAATAGAAGACTGAAATTCTTATTGGAAAAGTTCCAAAATTTGATATAATACCAAATAGTTCACTTGTAATCACATGTCATGTTTTCATATCAACTTTTTATTTCTTTATAATTAAATGAGTTTGACACGACATGCATTTGATTGAAAATATCTCAATCGATCAATTATCTTAATTTTATCTGTTACGATTAAATCATAGAATAATTTTCAATTTCCATTATTCATTCTATCATATTATTATTAACTCGTGACGAAAAGAGTTTTATTATAATAGCTAGCAATTGAATTAGCCGATACTAGAATAGTTTTACGTGCATTAAGTATTGCTTTAGTATTAATATATTAATAGTTTATTATTCCATTATGTTATGAATCACTACTTAATCATTTAGATCTATTTTATCCGATGCAATAAATACTTTAAAGTGAAGAACTATAATTTATAATTAAAGCAAGAATAGAATTACATTATATCATCAAACATACATGTACTAGTTTCAATAATCAACTTAGTTGTAATGTATAACAGTTGTCGAAGACTTACCCAAAGAGAAACATCATACTTTTGTTTTGTAAAGTACTTACTATCACATAGAAATATGTTGAAGTTTTATGAGAACATAAAACATAGTGAACTAATTAGTTATGCTTGAGGTATTTATATAATGTTAGAATAATCAAAACTAATAACAGCTAGTAACTATACAAGATAGATCGCCATTTTCCTTTTTGTTTATCTATATGACATGAAATAAACAATTTATTGAAAGTCTTATATTTGAATTCATTAATATATAACAAGCAATTTGCTTATGAATATACTTCATCATGTTATTAATTTTTATTTTAAAATAACAATTTTTCCGCTCTATATTTATTGTATGTTGAATCTTTATTTTCTAAAGATTCATTTAGCCTTTGACTATTCACTTATCACTATTGCTAATGATTTCATCGTCTATCTTCGATTCTGAATTTAAATTATTTGTAACTGCTGAATTATCGGTCATTTTTTATTTTGCATTTAACTGACTGAGAATAATAATCGATATTTTATTAGAATTAAAAACAATGTGTTCTATATGTAAATAGGAGTAAGAAAGTTCAGTTCCTGAAACTTAATTTTGGAAACAGTTCTTTTGATCGGAACTGATATTTTTCAACAGTTCATTATTTCATTTGACCTAAGTTTTCGAATTGAAGTTGTTCTAGATCTATATCTAAACCATAATCATTGTCTAATTTTTCTTGTATTATCAAATTATTATAAACATTTGGAAAATATCAAATATTCAATACGAAAACATTCGATCGAAAACGAGGAACAAGTGAAGAGTTGACGATAAATTCTATAACAATATTATCCCATGTAGCAGACACTCTGGTAAACTTTATCAACATCATCCAAGTGGTAACAACAAACACTACATCTTGATTCTCACAGCTCATAAAATATAACAAAGAAGAACAAAGAATAATAGTACTTTTATTAGGTTTTCCGTCGATAGTTTTTATGTATATATTTTAAAATAAAATAAACTGTTTGTTATAATAGTGATGTTGTATTTTTACTAATAAAGTTCTTCCATTTTTATAGATAATTGTTTATTATTGAAATATAGTATAAGAAAACAATAAATAAACTATTTTCTTCGATCGTAAAAGTTAAGATTTACAATTAAATAGTGCTACAAAAAAATGATTTCCAACTAACAAAATTTCTATATGACGATTATAGTTTTGATATTGCTGAATCTTATTCTAGACGAAAAACTATTTATAAGTACACTAAAGAACAAAAGTACGACATTTCTCCATTATATATCTGTCCCATTACAAATATTAATATCTTTGTGTTAGATTGTTTCTCTTTGAAACTGTTTGTTTTAGATAACCTTAAATAAAATCATTGGAACAAAAAAAAGAACTTGTACATAAGTAAATAAATAAATAAATCTTTCTCTGATACTATTGCCTAAATGTGTTTCTTTGTTTGATTCAGAATTTCATAATGCATTAGTATTTATTTATTCATCTAATGTTATATGACAAGCAAGAAATTCTATATGATATGTTAAACCTTCAACGCTAAAAGCTTTTAAATGACGTATATCTTTATCAGCAGAACTTAATGCATGTTTGCATTTTTACACCGAACATCACGCCTTCATAATTGACTAATATGAGATAAAACAAACAAAATTCTAATAAAATCACAACAATCATTTGACTTAGCTTATGCAACATATTCATTAAATACAATTATGTCAAGAGAATATGGAACATTTTCGTGTGATGATTTATTTTGACTATTTGTTCTATGTACTTTTTGAAAAACAGCAAAACGTTAATGTATTAGATCAAATACAAAAAGGAACATGATTATTAATAATAGAACTATAGTGTAATCATAGTACGATACAATAAAATTACTATTCAAAATCAAAACATAATATTTAGAGTAAATAAAAACGAATTTTGGAAGCAACAGAATATCTAAGAATTATTTGTTCAATTATACAAATTAATATGATTATTTTTCATGAGTTTGAATGATGGATGAAGTTTAAGATAGTATATGATTTTCATTAAAACTTGATTTACTAGTATGCGAAGTAAAATGTTTGTTCTATTCAGAAATATAAAGTTTATAACCATTCTTTTTAATAGCTTATTGAGTTTCAGATATTCGAATGTATGTTCGTCGTTTGTGTAATAAAGTTTTTTCTGAAATCATAGAATATAAGGAATGTCTACATCAAATAGAAAAGCTCAAGCAATTTATTTCATTAATATTTTGAAACACAAGCTACCATATGTTTATCTTAAAATGAGAAAATCTAAAATTTTATACGGAAAATATTGATCTAACGAAGCATTTTCACTTGCTAACTAACGAACAATTCTTATTGAAACATATATATCCAACGTTTTCTTTCCAACCTGAATTTATCCTCTATTATACAAAAAAAAAAACACAAGAACCGTTATTCAAATTTTCTTATCTAAAATTAAAAAGTCTATCGTGTCTAACATTTTAATCATATAAAAATGAAGTTGCAAATTTTTTTAAAATAAAACCATTCTTAGAACATTGCCCTTTCTTTCTCTATTCATCACCTGTTGTTAAAAATGTCACGATCGTCATAATATTAATTTTTCTCTTTGCTATGCCTCAGTTGAAAGACTTCCGAAAGCTTCTATTTTTTCAAGTTTAGAAAGAGAAAATTTATTAGCTCAATTAACTTTCAATATTTTTAGAATATATTTGAATATCACTAAATACCATAGAGCTTTTTCCTATATAAAAACATCTAAGTTCTTCGATTTGAGTATTTGATAAATATTTATAAAAACAAGTTTCTTAAGACCACATAATAATTCTGGTAAAAAAAAACTATAGTAAAAACAACAAAAAAAAATCATCTTATTTTTTTAATAGAATAATTCCTATTGATAATATTTATCTTGTATAACACATGCTAAAAGATCATTAAAATTAGATAAATATCGATATTAATATTTGTTGTGCGTTATATAATTGACAAGTTCATCAACCATTATCTTTTCTTTTTCATCAAAACTAATATTTGCCCCAGAATTAAAGAGAATCGGGTGTAATCTCAATAACTCGACAATGACAACAGCTAACAACCTATAGTTTTCAGTAATCGAAAGAGAAAATCTCCGAACGTCTTTTTGTTTTCATAATCAATAAGACAAAATAATTTTAAAATTCATCATCTTCGCAAATAATGCATGAAAATGACATTCAGTTTCAAGCAAATTTCAATAAAAGGTCAGAAAATCTGCTTAAAAATCAACAGAACGCTATACAATTACACTGAAGATTATGTTTGTTTAGCATAGAAATGTGAGAACATCATGATCTGAATCGTGTCTTGAACTATAGAGGTCTAAAGTACATATCAAAATTAAAAGTACATCGAAATGGAACATCGTTTCTATGCTTTTTTTTTGGAAAGATGATGAGTTTAAAAATAATTGTCTTGTATGGTATCAAACAAAAAGACGTTCAGAGTTCTTCTCTTTCGATTGCTAAAAGCTGCAGGTCGCTAGCAGTTGGCGTTGCCGAGCTCTTGAGATGGCATCCGTCGCTTTTCAATTATAATACAGACATCAAATTTAAAAAAAAAAAATTTTAAATCTTAAACTTTGCTTCATACATTTTTCAAGATATTATCATTGATATTGACTATCAAATAAAACATGATAACACAAACTGAGTCGTTTTGTTACTTAATAAAACAATAATCTTTTGTTTTAAACATAATATATTTAAAATATAATAAAATTGAAAGAGATATTTTATGTAATTTTATTTCTTTTCCCGGTATGTGTTCTTTCTTTTAGTTGAACAAAAGATGTCACTGTATAAAATATTAAAATAAATTTATATTTCTTTTAAATATGAAATAAATTTTTAATTGTTGTTTTTTCTCATAATAAAATCAAACTTTAAATAAAATCTTTTTTTAAGAACAATTGTTAAGTTTCTATAGAAACTGATGAATTCAAGTAGTTATACTATTTTTATATACGTTTAATTTTAAACTTCAAGTACTCAACAAGATGTTGAATAGTAATGCTGGTACTGAAATTGAAGTAAGCAGGATAGATATTCAATTACAAAAGCAAGAAAAAAACAATTTATTTTTATAACTCAGGGTGAACTATCTAAAGAAAAGCAAAATCTCTTAGAAAAACTATCGACTATGTTTGATCCGGAAACAGCTTATGATTATGTATGTCCAAAAACAAATGAAAATCGTCAACAATTATCACTTGAAGAATTGAGACATCGTATGTACATAGAATAAAATCAAACCACTTTAGTGACAATATTAGAACTTCTTTACTTTAATCATATTCATCTCACTATTAGTATCTGATTGTTAACTCATTGAGTACTATATGTGAGTATAAGACATGGTTAAAGTAAAGAAGTACGTAGAATCGTAGAGTATAGTTCTTTAAAGATTTTGTAATACTCTTATATATATATATTTGTATGAAATGGTGACCAATGACCAATTTGAAGGGTAGAAACCATAAAAACTTGTTCAATTTAAGTTGCAAAACCTTAGAGTAAAAAGTAAACAAACTACTTTCTGATGCTAAATTTCAAGCAAATAACTTTTTTTGTAAATTTGTATATATTCTTATTTGAGTATTGTAAAAATATGTCAGTGTAAACAATGTATAAGATACCACTACTTTCGTCGTCTTGGATTTTGTCTATGCAAAAGGCATTGTATTACAATTAAAAAAATTAGATTCTACTATATTTGCAAATTACAGTAATGACGTTATTTTTCCTTTTAGAAAAAAAAACTAAATGAAAACTATTTCTTTCTTTTTTTTTTATTATTATTATTCTCGACTATTTCCTCGAATCCGCTATTGTTGATAGAACATAAATAACTATGCATGTTATTTAAAAGCTTTATAATCCATCTGATACTATTTAATCAATATGAAATGAAGTTTGCATGATAAAAATTTTTTGCCAAAAACAAAAAGAAATTAGGGTATATTGAATTCTGCATGAATGCAAATAAGAATGTGTTCATTCAAATATGCTAAAAGGTATAGGATACTAGGAAAAAGTATTTTATTATTTTCTGTAAATTTATTAAAATTAAAATTAATAAATTTTAAAAGTAAAATACAAATATAGTTTTATTTGAATATATTTCTACTAAAATTATCAATGACTTTGATAGAAATCATAACATGCATGGTTAATAATTCGAAATTAAAAAATTTATATATAAGAGTATAAGTTTGAAAGTTGATTTGTGTGTGTGTGTGTGCATTTTGTCTCTTTATTTAGAGGGTGAAGCATTTAAATACAGGCCCCCACGAATAATCATCTATACGACGGCAAAGGTCCGTCTAGTTGTTTTGTATATTATTGTCTTGTTCTATTCCCTGAATGATTTTGTCTTATCATTTTTTTGTTGGTCTTTGTGTCCTTTTTTATTCCAACCTTATATTCCATTGTTGCAGTCAATCATAATCAACAAGAAGAAAATATAAAGCGATTGCGTTCGTTGGTACATTATAAGATCGCAACGCAATCGCTATCACGTGCTGATCTTGAAGTATGCTTGTTTATATAATGCTTATTCAGTTTACATTAAATGCACGCTTAGTTTTTGTTAAAAATATTATTAAATACTATTTCATATAATAGATGTTTATATATGTATATATATATATAGGCTTCATATCAATCATTTATTCGTAATCAAGTTGCTCAGCAATCTCCACGTTATGAACTTGAACAATATGTACGAAATAGTTCAGATATAGACTCTGCTAAACGTTATTTAGACATGGCTAATGATGTTTTAATAAATCCTCAGCAGGTACACAGTTTTTTTTGATTATAATCTAAAAACAGTGAATATTAATTAAAATAAAAAAAGAAAAATCTTATCATAATCAATAGAAAGATTAAAATAGCTTAGGGAAATCTCTCAAGCGAATAATCAGCTCAAAAAAGAAAGGACATCAACAAGAGATTTGTTCTTATGAAACATGTTTAAAAATATAAAGGGCAACATGGCATTTTTGTTTTAGTCTCTATTATTATTTCGTTCATCAAAACTTAATGAACAAAAAGCAAATTTATTAAAATCATCTCGTTACAGTAATAGTTTACAGCAATTAAATGATGATCCAAGTCTACAAAAATATTTTTCAGAAACATTGCATGTATGAGTTAGCTTTTCTTTCTTATTGCCGACTTTATTCATTTACTTTATTAAAGGGTGCTCCAAAAAATCCTATCCAAGATGAAGAAGAGTTTTTCAATAGTAAACAAAATCCATCTCGTCCTCAATCAATTCATCTTGCACATAAGGAAAAAAAATATCATGTTAGATTTTTAAAAGATTATGATGAACATAACGAATTATATCGTCGAAAAACTAATCGTCATTTACTTTTAAAACAACCATTAACCCCAACAAATATTGAAGCATTTTTTAGTACAGAAAATTCTACTATACAAGGTCAACCATCGGAATTAAATGCATCAAATATACATCGTGAAAGTAGGAAATTCAGTCACTATCAATTTAATACATCTATTGAAAGTTTATTTTTTCTAGTTTTTCCACCATTATCTTTATCTGCATTAAAAGAATATCGTCCATCTGTTACACCTAAACCACCACCATCTCGAAACACATCATCATCAACTAAATTTCAACAACGACGAAAACCAATGCGTAAAGCAGATTTTATATGGAACCAATCAATTGTTTCATCAACAAAACATGAATGATATTTTTTTATTTTGCTTTTATAATCTACTGCACTCTATAACATTATTGACTATATATATTTTTTTCTCTATTGTTTGTTCGTTGTATAGAACACAGCTGGACTTTATATGTGCGCGTGCCAGAACGGAAATGAAAAGGAAAACTAATAACAGATTACAACATCTCTCTTGTGCGCTTTCCATCTCCCATTGGCATCTCGACCGGCGATAGTTCGCTATCGTGCTAAACCTTTAAATGAAAGAAAGGATGTGACGGAGAACAGCATCTCAATGTGGTTGGCGTTTTTTTTTTTCAGCTTAACGGCTGAGAATCGGAAAAGAAAAAGAATGGAGAGACAAATTGAGCTATGGACCTTGTTTACTTCTCACATTTTTATTCAACATGACAAGGCGACGTCAGTCGATTCGTGTTCTGTCTTTTTCTTTCTATGTCTTTTTTCTTTAGTGCTTTTTCTTTGTGTGTGTGTGTGTGTGCGTGTGTGTTCTTTACTACTGTCGATCCAAAACTCGTTCTACTGACAAACTATATTGATGCGTTTTCTCGCACACCAAGCAGAAAGAAAAAGAAACCGTGCAGAAAAATAAGAAAAGAAGCAGTGTCGTCGTCATTTTCATCATCTCTCCGTCATTTCTAATTTCTCGTGTCAATTTTCATTGTGTACAACAAAAGAGAAGAAGAAAAAAAGAAGAAGAAGAACGATGCCGACGATAGATGGATAGATGTACGGACGGAGAAGACTTCCACTCCTTCTCTAACACATACAATCAGGAAGAAGAGGAGAAAATGGGAGAAGAGGCAAGATGCTTGCCAAAATCATAAACAATAACAACAACAGCAGCTAGAAATTGATGAGGAAAGAGTACTAACGAATAATTGTAGAATTGCCACGCATTTTCTCCTCGTTTTTTTTTTCTTTCCTTTCCGTTTTGCTATATCACCATCATCAGACTTCGCTGCCATCTTGCGCACCACCACTATCAATACCATGTGGGTATGTATATTTGTCTCTATGTTGATTTAGGAATAGAAAATTACGGGAAGGAACTAAAGTAAGTTCATTTTAAATGGCAACTATTTAACGATAAAAGAAGAAAAAAAAATTGGTTTCTCTTCTTGGTTTATTGTCAATTGTATCTTGCTCTATAATCAGCATACACGCAATAGACTTTTCTTTTTTTGTTTCTTTTCTTGTCATGATCGTTATTTTTAGTTTGCATGTTGCATCTACTGACTATGGAAACTTGAGATGATGATGTTCGACATAAAGTCTACCTTGTCTAATTCAATATATGTATAGCATCTTCTGCTTCTCCTTTTTCTTCATATATATTTTTTTTCTTTACTGATATTTCTTTTACTTTTTTTGTAACAATTACAGGCAGCATCTTTTATTCATATGAGCTGATGTCAGATGAATGTGTGTGTGCCGATCTTCATCGTTGCCCAACTATAGATAGCTCTTTGTCTTTCTTTTATTTTCTAGCAGGTGGAATCATACTCTTTGCATTTAAGTGTTTTGTCTGATTGAAAACTAGAGAAAGAACAAAAAGAAAAATAAAGAAGAACAAGAGAAGACAACAAAAGAAACGAAGTCTCTCCTCTCTACTAATTACTCCTTAGTTCTTTCCCTCCCTTTTCTCTCCCTCTCTCTTCCTTTTGTAACATTCGCTTGCTTACCCATTTGTCTGATGAAAAAAAAGTCAGCAAAAAAAAAAAAAAAGAAAGAAAAATGATGAACATTGTTAGAGTAAGTAAGGTAAAATAAGTTTATTATGATGTATTTATATCGTATACTAATGAGCAACGAACTAATAAAAAATATAGAGAACTAACTTAGTAGTAAGGTTAACTTTTATTTATTCATTTATATTAAAGAGATAGATTGATTAGTTCAGTCAGAAGTAACAACAAAACCAGTCGAACTAGTAATCTTACTCAGCAACTGGCAAATGTCACCAATGCCCAATTAACAGAGCTATATATATTTAATAGAATCTATATGTATTGCTTTAGATACACACACACACACGCACAGATAATTCTTATATCTATAAAAGAAAGAATTAACCTAAATTATTCTTTTTCTTTTTTGCTATTTCTATACTATTTGATGTCAGATCTAAAAACAGACTATGGAATTTCTATGAGTTTAAACGATCGGCAATGTTTTTCTTTGTTCATTAGATTTAACTCGTTGATTAGTTAGTTTATAGTGATTTGTTTGTTCATTCATTTGATGATGATGTGATAACGATGATTGTCATATTTTCTTTTTTGAGTGATGTACGAGGTCATATGCCATTCATCTCTGCTTCTATTTTTCTCTATTATTTAAAATAATTGTTGGGATTTTCGTAATGGAATAAAGCAGTGTTCGAACACATCCCCATCATCATCATTATTATCATCATCATCTCTTCTTTTTTCTTTCTCCCTAACCTCCTATTCTCTTGTCTACATGTGTGTGCGTGTGTGTGTCTGTTTGTTCTCTTCATAACTACTGCTACTTCCAGAAAAAAAAATATATAGTTGAGAATGGTGTTAAGAGCTCCCTTGCTAACTAGTTCGCTACAAACTTATAGGTAATATAAATCAAAAGAATAATATCACGAAAGAATAAAATATTGATTGAGCATGCATTCATATTGTGTTATCTTTTTTTTTGTAGATCATGATCAGTTATTCTCGACAATTGTTTTCACACGATACATAGACACATATATACATACAGATATATATATATATATATAGATCGATAGACAAAACACTGCTTTCAATTATTCAAATTCAAGACCAACCTGTATCAATACTCGTATCTTTCTTTCTTTCTTTCGCTGCATGGTAAGTCATCACGATGGCAATGATGATGTCATAAAGAGAGAAAGAAGAGGAGAAGAAGAAGAAGTAGAAGCCACAACAAGAAAACAGCACGTCGGTGCATAGCCTAAACTATCGATCCTTTCTTCTTCGTCTTTTTCTCTTCTTTACTCATGATGAGACACTAGCTTTTAGTATGACGAAATAGATCTGGAAAGCGAGAAACCTTCGTATTATAGAGTCCTTATTATCTTGGCCACTTTTTTTTTGTCTTATTTATAGACGCCTCAATGAACGCTAACAAAACACGAACGCGACTATCGCATTATGTTCGTGTTTTACAAAGAGACCACACGAACATTGAAATCTTCTCCCATTAGGTATGAAATATATGTTTTTTGTTTTGTTTCTGATTATGTTGTTCTCTTTTTACAGAAGAAGAAAAAAAAAAAAGAAAAAGAAAAGACAATCTTAATTCAAAGTTAAACATCGAACAATTATGTTTGTCTGAAATTTCATACTATGTCTATGTAGACAAGTTTCTGTGTTTTTTCTCTAACGTTAAAGTAAATTTACATGTAATATCGTATGCAGTTATGTAAAAAACAATTTCTATTTGTTGATTGGGAGGACAACAAAGAATAATTTAACACGACTTAAAATTAAGGAAAAACAAATCATTCAATTAAAGACAAAAAAAAAGAACTTATCTTTCTTTACGTTTCTTTATATAAATATTTACGCCTAAGTGACTATTTTCATTTGAAAAGAGCTCATGTATAGATCTTCTTTTCTAGTATTGGTTAAAGAATACAAAATAGAAAGAAATAATGTGAGCTCAATAATAGTAATGTTGATCACTCTTCTTATCCTATATATTCAAAGAAAAGCGATTAGAATATGCGTCAAGTTCTTATTTTTATTGCGCTTAATATACGATAATGTTTTTTTTTTCTTTTAGTTAATATGATTGTATAATAATAATTGATATTTATATATTTAGGAAAAAAAGAATAGCATCAACTTTATTGTCAAATAGTTCATCACCAACAACAGTAGTAGTAGAACAACATCATCGCTCTTATCCTTCTACTTCTTCTACAATACCCTCCTGGTCGGTGCTGATTTTTTCAGCTGCCGATATTCTTTTTCGACTTACAGAGGGTTTTGTTGGTCAAGTTGAAGAAGTGCATAAGTATTGTTTCCGTAAAGTAAGCAAAAAAAATAATAATAAAATAAAATTTAGATAAATAAGAAATTATTATTATTTTTTTTTTATTGTTTTATTTTTGATAGATTATGAGCTCACGTCATTCAAATCAAGAAAACTCATCAATTTACGAAAGTAATCGATCACGCCGTCAACAACCAACACCTTCAAATATACCTTCCAATCAACAAGAACCATTAAATTCATCTCCTTCACATAGTGATCAAGCCTCAAAAGCCTGTTGTTTTTGTTGGTGTTGCTGTTGTTCCTGTTCGTGGTATGTAGTTATATATATTTTATCCATTGAATGTTTTAATTTTCTATTCTATGTTATATTGCGCAGAAAATTAGTTTATTTCACTTTCCTTTTCTTTCTGATTCTTTTGTTTATTTACTATTTGCTTTTTATTTTCTTGAGTCGTTAGTTGACTTGTGTGTGTATAATCGTAGTATTTTTCTTCTCTATCTATCTTGCTTTAGACGTCGGTCTCCTCATCATCGCACGTTAACAGACAGCAGCATCACATTCATCTATACAAAAAAATTGGTCCCCTACTCCTCTTCAGTCCTCCAGGTGAATTTGCGCGTTTATATTAGCGCGCATGTGCATGTGAAAAGAACATGATTAAACATTTCAAATTTAACCCATTCGGTTCCATACGACGTCATCCAAAGTATGTTTGATATTTTGATTATTAACTTCTTGATGTTTTGTATTTCTTCTGTTTTCTTTTTTCTCGTCAATTTTTTTTTTTTTGTTTTTCTATGATGCTGCTCTTCTTATGATGTGCGAATGAAAAAACAAACGAGGAGACTCACGTTTGGCAAATATGATTTCCGTTTCGGAAAGACAAGAATAATAGGTTCTGTTCTAATTTAGTCAGTTTACTTTCATCGTTGCTGTCGATCAACTTTTTCTTCTTCTTTTTCTTCTTTTTCTTCTTCTTCTTCGTCTTCTTCTTATCTCTATTGAAAGTCAAACAACAAATAGATACACATATTTCGACAACAGATGCACTCTTGACGATAGAATATAAACTCTAATTGCATTTCTACTGAGAGAAACGATGTAAAAGTAGCTCGCTGCTGTGTTCAATAATTCGATAACAAAGCTGCTGCTTGCATGTTGTGTATATATATATATATATATGTGTGTGTGTGTGTGTACTACATATCACTTCCTCTTAAGCACTGAGATTGCTTCTTTCTCCTTCTCATGAAACTATCACTTTGACAAGAAAAAACGAAACGTTTCTTCCCTGTCTTTTCTCTTTCTCTCTTCTTCTTCCTCTTCTTCTTTTTTTTACCCACTCCTAATCCGATTAGAGATATATCTATACTTTCTGTTTTTCCTCTTTTCTCTTTCCTCGACTTGCATTGCCGGTGTTTTGCTTTTGGGTATCTACAAAAAGGAAAAAGAGTGTTCAATGCCATCGACAACAACAACGACTCTCGTTCTCGGCTTGTCGTCATCTTTATCATTCCAGAGTTGTTATGAGCTAAATCATGTTAGCTAAAGAAGAAAAAAACTAGGCCTACGCTTCTCTCGTTCGTCGGTCTTGTCTTTGATGTGATGTTCTTGTTAGTAGTGCGAAGCTAAAAAAACGAGAGAAAAAAAAAAGAACATGTCACTCTCGCTTGTGTTGTTTCTGCCGGTGGTATAGTAAGGATGATGATAGTGGTGAAACTTTGACTGTTACTGTCGTCTTCATTTCAACGTCGTTGAAGATACAAAAAACAAAAAAAAAGAGAAGCGAAGTAGAAGAAGAAGCACAAGAGAAGAATTAATAATAATCTTTTTTTTGTGTTGATGGCAAAGATGGATTATGGAATCCGACCAGTATCCGTCACCATTTTTGTCACATCAACGTGACTTTTCAAGTTTAGTCTCGTGGCCTCATTATTGGCATCCGGAATCATTTAACATAACAACAAATCATATTTCAACATCTCCCGGTTCAAAAATTCTCAACAATCAAATGACTCAAGTTGTACCAGAACATGTGGCTCATGCCAAACTCAGTGGTAGCGTAAATAATAACAATAATAATAATACTAATCATAATAATAATCGAAAAGAAACAAATGGTACATATAAAACTCGAACACAGCGTTCAATGCCTGCTACATCAAGTACAATATCTGTCACATGTGATACAGACACATCTCTAAGATCTTATAATGCTTGTCATCGACAATTATCATCATCGAAAAAATCAATGACATCCAAACATAATTTAACTGTATCACATTCATCATCAGCTTTAATGAATAATGCTAGTGTTCATTCTCCTACAACATTGTTTCGTAATCATCGTCGATATAAATCAAATGGTAATAATAGTTCATCGTCGATGTCAACTAGTTTAACAACAACATCAGGAATGAATATTGTACATGGAAAATCAGCACTAACATCATCTATATCAACAATATCAATATCAAATAAACATTTATTAAAAACAACAGATTTGGAATGTGCAAGCACTGCTAGTGATGGATCAAGTAATTCAGCTAAAAATCTTTCACATAAACATAAATCAACTTCACTTGATGATGATCGTCATCATCATCATCATCATCATCGTCATAGTCATCAACAATTGCGTACAAATCAAAATCGAGGAATTGGAAAAAGTGTTCTTGAACATCTTGTTTTTGTCTTTCCTGAAAATGTTCGAAGAATGCTTACGGGAACAAAAAAGTAACCTTAAACAATAGATCTGTTTTTTATTTCTTATTCGATACATCTATTATTCAACATCTATCAACCTATTCATTTATTTCTTTTGTTTTTTTATTATAGTTTAACCGTGCGCACCGACGATAGCCGTCAACCAGCTGAACCTATAGATCTCGGAGAACCGTATGTGTTTTTAATCAACATTATTTTTTGTTTCTTTATTTAAACAAAGAAAATTATTTACATATAGACCATCTGTTGAAGAAGTGAAAAGTTGGGCAGAATCCTTTGACAAATTAATGCTTTGTCCTGGTATGTATATTTCTAATATATTTATTCAAAGAAAAAGAAAAAGAATTATTTATTCTATTTTTATTTTTAAGCTGGTCGTCGTTATTTTCGTGATTTCTTACGATCAGAATATAGTGAAGAAAATTTTCTATTTTGGATGTCCTGTGAATCCCTTAAAAACGAGCAAAATCCTGAGATAATCGAAGAAAAAGCACGATTAATCTATGAAGATTATATATCAATATTGTCTCCGAAAGAGGTAAAACTCGTATTTTAAGATTAAAAAACAAAGAATACTTTTTTCTTTGCTTAACAAAAAAAATTATTTATTTCAGGTAAGCTTGGATAGTCGAGTGCGCGAAGTAATCAATAAAAATATGGTTGAACCATCTCCACATACATTCGACGAAGCCCAATTACAAATTTATACTCTAATGCATCGTGACTCCTATCCACGTTTTATTAATTCACAAATGTACCGGCGACTACTACGTAATGAAGGCGTAAACACTTGATATATACGTGCCATGAGCGCCTAACCCGGTATACTTTACGTTTTTCTTTTTTCTCTTTTTTCTTTTGTTCTATCCGAAAATATTTTGTCTTCTGTCTTCACGACACATTCCACAGTGTGGACGCACTTGTTGTCGCGTAGAAAACAAATCAAAACAAAAACAAATATCAAATTGTCGTTCAAGCATTTTTTTCTTTTTCCTCTTTTTTTTTTTTTGTTTTGTTTGGGCGTCAGATGCCCATTATATCATCGCCGCTATTGAATCAAAGTGTTTCTATATATGTATATTTTTTTATAATCTAGACATGGTTTTTCTCATGCGCACGCGCGACATCCGATTCCCCGTCTCTCAACTGTGATTAATTCATCTTTTCATTTTTTTTTCCTTCTTGCGTCTTTTGTTGTGTGTCGTCTATGCGCGTTTTGTTTTTGTTTTCTTTTTTCTCTTCTTCTTCTTTTTAGTCGTCTCCGTCTGCATTTAAACGAACAGTGACATTGAATGCCATCATATTGTTTGCATGTATGTTTTTGTTGGTTAAAAAGGCAAAAAAGAAAAAAAACCGAGAAAACATCTTTCTATATATATATATATATGTGCATGTTATCTATGTTAGATTGTCATAAATTAGAACAATGAAAAAAAATGGAATGATGGCAATCATGTTCTTGCTTTCTTTTCTTTTTCTTGTTTTTTTTTTTGTATAGTTGATTGTTGTTCTTTCTTTCTTTCATTCTCTCTGTTTTTCTACATCACTGTGTTGACTTTTATTGTCAATAACCAAACTTTTGGGACAGTATTTAAAACAAAACAAAAAAAAAACAAAGACAGGAAAATGATATTTCTTTAAAAAATAATAGTTATTTCATTTGATAGATATTATGATACATCTATAGTAGCTGTCACTCACAGGCATATATATATAAAAGGTTTTTGTCTTTCTTATTATTTTGACAGAATATATTTAATCTCATCAGAGACAATATTGATAAGATTTTTACAATACTTTGATGAAAATAGATAATTAATCAAAAGTTACAAGACAAATCCCTATGTATTCGAACAAGATGCTTTTATAATCAATAGATTGCTTGACTACTCGATGAATTTATTCATTATTGCTATATGCAATTCGATTATTAATCTGACAAGGGAATCATCAAAGACGATTCACAGCTTCAAAATACATTTTGTCGGTATATAGAGAAAGAATCTATAGACTAGAATAACTCTCAAAAGGATTGTAGTCTATAGTCAATCTATACAAAATTACAAGAATTTTGCTGAAATTTTTTTCCATAGAGTGCAGTAGACAGACAAAAATAGAATAACGGAATGTTTTATTTTTTAAGTAGATCTCATCATTCTAAAAGTTTCACTCAAAACGGTTATTTCCTTTTTAATTATTTGAAATCTCTTGTTTTTTCTAACCATGTCCAAAATCTATGTAGGTTTTAAATGTTAGACATCTCAAGAAAGAATCAATTATTTTGGCAGAAATTTTAAAAGATAATAAAAATAATTTATAGACAAAATTTCAGTTAAAAAAGAATCCTTTGTTTTATTTTCCTATCAACACTGCATCCTATGATAAAAATTTCTATAATTTTGAAGAGATGTCCTATGAACTAGAACTCTTTTAAGATTAGTTTAGTCTACGGATTGCCTTTATACGCTCAAAAATGATGAATCACCTCAAGCAATTCTCTGCTGAAAGGGAAGAATAAGGATTATCTCAGAGTTTGTCAATTTTGAATATTAATAACTAAAAAAGAAACATATGTTTGTTTCGATGAACCGAAAATAATATTAATTAATATGTAAGTACGACAAATTATCTGTATCCATCTTAATTGATAAAACAATAAATAATCATAATTGATCTAAGAAATTGAGGATAATAAAATTATGTAATATCAATAAAACTATTTTCTTTATTAAAAAAAAATAAGAAAGAAACAAGAGAAAACTTTCTAAAGAGATATGATAAATCATTGAATTTGATTGATGTATTTTATCATGACTATCATTATTAATTGTTAAGTTCTTGGTTACTATAAAAAATAATTTGTCTAGAAGTTTTTTGATGTTTTCTTTGTATGTTTCTTTTTTCCGATTATCAGTAAAAATGAAAAGAAAAATATACAGATAGATTATATATTATATGTCACTATTCAATCTCGAATTTTTTATATTATATTAATCTCAATAAGTTCTGATCATAGTAGAAATTATTCATTTGTTTTTTTTTCATGCATTACAAACAACTTTGTATTAGAAATAGGTTTCTTTTTTCATTTTCTTATTCAATATGTAAGAATAAAACGAAACAGTGAGTATTCCCCTTAGATTACAATAAAAATATAATCGATTCAATTTGTTTCTTACAACGAAATTTCGAATGTCAGTTAGTTTTTTTTGAAAAATGGAAATTTTTATTATAAAAAAAAAAGAAAAACAATACAAGATCGTTGAGAAAATTCAATTAGTTTAAATTGACATAAGAGAAACCTGAAGATTCAGAAAATAAATATTTTTGTTATATCGTAATATTGACACATAGACTTGGTCGTATTAATTTCTCAAGAGAAATTAATCTATGATTAATGTTTACTTCTACAATATTCCAAAAACAATTTTAAGATTCCACTATGTGATGTCATCAATCTATATAAGACAATTTTGATAATTATTAACCTTTACAAGGGCACGAACCCAACTGACGTCCGCTGTTTGAGGTCATATTGCGTCTATAAGAAATATATATATATCTGAGATTAGCAAAAGACGAGAAAAAGACTTCATTTCCATCACTCTATGACAACGAGTTATAATCGTTTTACTGCATTTTGAACCGATTTTTAAGTATTTACGGAAAAGTCAAAGGAAAACGGAATTTCGATGTAAAATTTTGTTCATAGATATGAGTTTATTTGAAAATTCACTATATCTATCAAGAAATAGTCTTTTCGGCTCAGACTTTCAAGATATTCTACGAGTCATTAAACCTATTCATAGGCAAAATTCTGCATCAAAATTTTATTTCTTTGATTTTTCTGTATATACCTAGCAATGAGTGGTAAATGCAGTGGAACGATCATAACTCATTTTCAAATACCCCTGGGGGCGAAGCCTTTTTTTAGCTTCAGTCAGATATTTTTGTTTGTGCACTACCAGCTCAAATGACAGATACCGATGTGGGAGGGGGCCGGTTCCATCGCGCCAGTAAAATCGACTTTTTTAATTAAATGTCATGTCAAATGTCAGAAACAGTCTTGTAAACTGATTAGATTTAATCAAAGATATGGAAATTTCATTTATTTAATATAGAAAAAGAAAAATGGACGCTCAATGTTAAAAAAAATATATTTTAATTGTTTGAAAGTATATTAAACAATAATCTAAATTTCTAACAAAGCTATTTGTATAAAACAGAAAAAAACTAAAGGATGATCAGAACGTTTTCAGACAAGGTGTTTATTCCGTTTTGATTCGCTAGAAAGTATTTCCGACGAATCAAAAACTACGATGTTGTGTTTTGTTCGAATATGGACTTAGAAAGTTTGTCTCAATTTTTGAGCGACAGTAATAAAATAATTGGTGAGAAGTTCGAAAAATTAGTTTCAAAAGGAATTTGTGAACCGACGTTTCCTCTTGACATGTTTGTTCATTTTGGCCTGCTTGAAAGCATTTCGGTATAGGCTGCAACTAGAATTTGAATATGAATTCAAGAATAGTTAGAAACTTTTTCAAAGATCCAAAAAAAAATTATCTTTCATGGTGAATCAACAGGTTTTTATTTACTCTGTAAGTCATTTTTCAGAACATACTAAATATTACCAGACTGTTTCATTTTGTAGAGTGTTTGTACGATAGTTTCTCATCTCAAAAGCTGATATATAAATAAAGATTCTAACTTTTAGTTTCGAATTGAAATGGTGAAAATACAAAAATTTTCTGTCCAAACGAATTGTTTTGAACTTTTCAAAAATAATTTTACTACTCTCAAACAAAATTTCTACGAACACAAAATTCTTGTTCTAATTCATAGTTTTTGATCCGTTATAAATACTTTCGAGCGAATCTAAAAATTTTCTATTCTCTCTTTCTCTTAATTAATAGTAATAGATTTTGAAAGATCTGTATTTTAGATTGAAAAAGAATATTATTCAGATAGAAAAAAAAAAGAAAACATTTTCTTAACGAATATTACAATAATTCTCGTTTAGTATTTTGAAAATAAAAGATTTTAAATTTGAAACTTATGATTATATAAAAATAAATCACAGCTATGTAATCGTGCCTTCATCATCATCATACCTAAGCTCGTTCATTTTTTTTTAATATAAAGCAATAAATTATCCATATAGGATATTATTTAATTCGATTTCATTCCCATGATTTTTCTTTTGTGTCTTTATTCGTACTAATAAAATATGTATTTCACACACGTACACACATCACCTATTCATATAATATTCAAACTACGCCTCCAATGATTATCAGACTTTTCTTAATTGCCGTGTTAAAATTTGTCTAGCATAGCAAAAAAAATTCGATCAGTTCTATACATAATATACCAAGCTAGGTGGTAGGATGTGTTCATTACGGATATCAATTTACCTGGTGCGCAGCTAATAATTTTCTCTCTTCGTCAACATTCTTAATTATTTCAATTGGTCAAATTTCGTTAGAAAAAGAGAAAAAAAAAAAGAAAGAGAAAGAAAAGAAAATAAATCGAAATTTTTTTTCGATCATATGTATAATACATACTGTTATGCGAATAGATGTTCATTCATTAGTTAAATAAAAAATAATAATCATATATTCAACGAACTCAATTATTCATTCATCAATCATGTTTTATACAACTCAATACGATCAACAAGTTTCAAATGAAGTAAGACAAAGAGAGAGTCAAGATCATTTTTGAAAACATATGAGTATGAGTAATGTTGACACTACATGATCAATGGCGGAGTCTCCTAACTAAAAATCCTGGTTACGCTGCTGTTCATGATGTTTCTTTTTTGTACTCATTATAATTCAAGATGTTTAGTCATCTCTTTTAATAGCTATTGTAAAATAATTTTGTAGGAAATGAATAAAACTGACTATTGGACTTAAGTGTCTTGAGCACTGGAATATAAATATTTCAAAGTTGAGTTGAAAAATTGAAATTAGTTTTTATGAATTTTATTGTCGAAAAATCAAAGCTCAAAAAGAAATTATCAAATATATATGTTAATTGATTGACTTATATCAAATCTTAAAAATCTTTAATTTAATAATTTTTCAGACATCCGAATTTTAAGACAACAAATTTTTTTTTTTTCGATATTGATTTTTTACAATAAATATCTTTTTATTCTCTTATTGTAGAATGAATTTCCTTCAATCAATCAAGAAAATAATAATAATAATACAACAAGAATATATCGCTCAACAACAATAAAACCTAATAAACAATTACCAGAAAAAGCTATTCGTTTAATGAATGCTTGGTATTTAGCACATGAAGATAATCCATATCCAAATCGTAATGATTTAGATTATTTAGCAACGAATGGTGGTATTAAAGAATCTCAAGTAAAAGCATGGTTTTCTAATAAACGTAATCGAACACAAAATACACATCCAAAACGTGCTAAACGTTATCTCATACGAAATCAAACACAGCAAAATTCAACTTTATCCATTGAACCTGAAAAAATTCATATAGCAGATGAACTTGAACAACGTGCACAATTACTACAACAACCAACTTCTCAATCATTACCATCTTATTCTACTAATTGGTCTTGGTTACCATCGCATTCCTATGATTATTATCATCAACATTATTACTATAATCAATAGAAAAACAAAAAAGAGCAGACTTGATATATGTATTGCAATTTTTTTTATTTTTGACAAGGAAAAAAATGTTTCAGATTATAATAATTGGACGAGATAATGAATACGTCAGATTAGTTTATTCTTGTCGATTTCTATTTCTCATTTTTTGATTTTTTTTTTGGTTTTTGAAAATAAAAAAGAAGAAATAGAATAAATGCATTTATCAGATTTCATTCATTTTTTTCATAACCATTTGTCTTTGATTTGATTTGTTGAGGCTTTGATTTTGCTGCTGATAATGATTTTTTGATATATGCTTGCACGTAAAAGTTTGCAAAAAATAGTAAAAACATGATAGCATATGAAAATATCCAATAAGCAAATAAAATTGGATAATCACATTGCATAAGAAATAATTGTGATGTATGAACCATAACTAGCATAAATTGAATCTTAATAGTAAAAAAATAAAAGTAAAAAAATACAAATTCGATATATATATATACAAACCATTTGCATCCATGTCATGGATTTTTTTAAAAATAAATATTTCCGAAATGACGGACTAAGTGCAGCAAGTCCATAATATAAATACATAAGAAAATGTATAAATGAATTAATGCAAGCATGTAATGTTCCGAAACCACCAGGAACAAAACGAACACCAAACCACCAACTTATTGGCATTATACCATGATGTAAAACATGTAAGATACTTACTTGATGAAAATTTTTTTTCATTATAAAAAAGATTGTATCAAGTAATTCAATAAATTTTGATAGAAAAAATAAATGACAAACACGAACCATCTGTTTAAAAAAAAATACTTTTAATAAAAAATGGAGAAGATTTTTTTCATTACCCTCATAGCAGTGGGTGATCGAGAATAATCGACAGGTTGACAACCTAATGAATAACCATTTAACCAACCACCAGCAAGAAACTAAATAGAATTTTTTTTTGTAATTAAAAGAAATTTTTTGTTATTTAATTTACTCCATAGAATAGATAACCAGATAGAGCAACCATAGCAACATTATACACTAATAATAGTTGACGAATGTTATATGGTGAACGATTTGCCATTAGTGTTGGTCCCATCCAAACAGCAATTAAATATCCCAAACAGATTAAGGCCGATGGAATTGGAGAATCCATCATGAACATATCAGATGTGCGTGGGTCTATGATATGATGAAAAAAAAAATAGTTTAAAGTTTCTTTTTTAATAGAAAAAGAAAAGTTTTAAGATGATTACAGAATAACAGACTAAAGATGAAAGTGCTGAATTAATAAAATCTTTTTAAGAACGCGGTAATAAAGAAAAATGATATCGATCGTTCAAAACTGTAACTATTATCGACACCAAAATATAATGCACCTCGATGTTTTTTGAATATCTGGAGAACGATAATAGCTAGAGACTTGCGGTTTTCACTATTAGAAAGAGAAATGTGGGGGAAATAAAACTCTACTAAATTATTCTGACTATGATCTGGTCAAGCTGGTCAGTTTCTTCTGTATATTTTGACCACAAGTTGTCTGAAAAAATTTCGCTATCAGTTATAGGTTTCAATATAGTCAATCAATAGCAAATACATTTCTCTGTCGATCTACGCAAGGCCGACCTTTCTAGCGTATTCTGTCGACGAGTTATCGGTATTTTACTGGAAGCCTTGAAATCGGCCAACTGACCACTGGTCACTCTAAACTATATTGAGCTTGGGGTATTTCAGTAAGCTGAGTCGAATGGTGATGTTTGTTTTTAGTTTCATTATGTCCGTAAGTTGCTAGATCAAGATTTTTGTAACTCAGTCTATACAAAGCTTTTAACGTCAGAATGGGTATTCTATGGACTTTGTGTGGACTTTGTTCCTGTGACGTCAGATCGCTTTAACACTAAAAACAAATATCGCCATTCGACTCAGCTTAGTGAAATACCCCAAGCTCAATATAGTTTAGAGTGACCAGTGGTCAGTTGGCCGATTTCAAGGCTTCCAGTAAAATACCGATAACTCGTCGACAGAATACGCTAGAAAGGTCGGCCTTGCGTAGATCGACAGAGAAATGTATTTGCTATTGATTGACTATATTGAAACCTATAACTGATAGCGAAATTTTTTCAGACAACTTGTGGTCAAAATATACAGAAGAAACTGACCAGCTTGACCAGATCGTAGTCAGGATAATTTAGTAAAGTTTTATTTCCCCCACATTTCTCTTTCTAATAGTGAAAACCGCAAGTCTCTAGCTATTATCGTTCTCCAGATATTCAAAAAACATCGAGGTGCATTATATTTTGGTGTCGATAATAGTTCTATCTCACATACAAAGAATATAAAGCGAAATTTATACGAAAGGAAAAAATCTACTTAAGAATTTAGTGAAGTTTTCATTTTATCGAACTATTCCAATGTATCGCTAAATGAGATTAGTGAGCAAAATCCACGCAAACGGAATTTGACTTTGATTTTTTCTAAAGATTATTTTTTGAACAAGTTCACACCTAGCTAAACTTAATAAGCTAATTAGTGAATTAATTAAAACAGTTAATAAATAACTCTCTAATTTTATGTTGAAAAAGTCCAAACATTTGAGAATAGGTTACAAACCATAGACTTTATCTATAGTGACAGTTTTGAGCAAGATCAAACTTTGTAAGCTGGTTTTCCAAAGATCCAATCTTATTTTGGAATGAGACTCTTTTGTTTTGTTATCATTTTGCGATCACCAAGAAGGATTCTTGTACCATTTAGAATTGATTTTTCACTTCTCTTTTAGTTACAAGAAGATTTTTCGTTTCTAACAGGCAGCCCTTCAAGAATGGGACACATTGATTTTCCTTTTTTTTTGTTTTTTGGAAGATAGCAAACACTGTTTAAAGACACTATTCTAAGTTCATTCGTTAGGGAACTTTGCGCTCTATATAATTATTGACTTTGCTCTTCAAATAAGTTTCTTCTATTGTAGAGCATCGAACTTGATAAGCACAAATTTGCACGAATCATTAGTTTTTCGCCGAGAGTATTAGAAGATTGCAGTGGAGTAGTGAAGCAGCCGGTTCACATTTTTGTAAAGTGAAAAATTCTTTATTGAATGAACTTAGAATAGTGCCTCTGAGCAATATTTCTGTTCTTCAAAAATGGAAAATCAAACCGTCCCATTAATTATGAGTCGCCTGTCATATTCGCACTCACTTACATCTTGAACAACAAATAAATCCCATTTGTCTTTGGAAAATCTAAGCATGTCGAGGAAAAACTTTGCGTAAAGATTTTATAGCCTGAAGACTCGTCTATAAAACTCATTCTTTGATTTTCAAAAATACTTTTTGAATTTGTAAATGGAATCGCACACCACAATGACAACAGTTGCCCATTTTTGTGTCATGTCTCTTACACAGGCTTTCCAATAATAAGTCGTACAAGGAGAAATGCCCGAGTTCACAAATGAAACTGCTTATATAGAACTCTTATGTTTATCAGATCTTTTAATGATTGAACTAATGGCACTCTATATGTGCAACTTTTATAATAGGATAAATCAACATACCGCTATAATTCTTTTTGGCTTCTTCCCATAATCTGCTATAGTACTGCAGTGTTTCCATTTTAACAAATCTGACTCTAAAATCTGAAACTTTAATTATTAAATAATGTAATTAAGAATCAATTTATCACATATCTTTCATATAAAAAGAAAGAGAAAATAAACCAGGAAAACGGGGTGCATATAAAAATAAAAATTCAAACAAAAAAGCACGTTAAAAAGACTAAAATCATAGCAGGTTCATGTGAAATATCAAATAAATATCACAATGACAATAAGAAGAAATAACAAAAAAAAAACAATAATATCTATTTAATTAATTCTGTTGTCTCATTGATTGAATGATTTTCTTAAGTTCGGTATTCTCTTTAAATGTTTCATTCATCGGTGCACCTGTCATTGGTGAACAATGATATAAATTAACCCATTCCATAATAGCTTCTCGTTCATATGTTTGACCATCGCTAGCAATGACTGGATCAATAAAAATTTCTTGTGTTAGAAAACATGTTAAATTTTTCATTAATTGTGTATTTGATGCTGGTGATATAGCTGGTTGTTCTACATTTGGTTCTGAATCTTGATCAGATATTGTTTTCATTGAGTCAACATGTTTATCTTTTGTATTTATTACTTGATGTTCTTCTTCAGATTTTGATGGTTCACTTTCAATTGTAGTAAATTTATTTTGTGTTTTAAGTGTAAAATTGCCACTTGAACTAAGATTAAGTAAAACATTAGAAAACATTGCACCAGGAAATGGATCTATTATTGGATATGGTAATTTAGAAGTAGCAGGATGTAATGGAATAAAAGGAAGACTAAAAATCGAAATTTGCGGATTAATACATGGTCTGTTTTTACTATTTGATGATGGTAATGATGATCGACTTCTTGTTGGGCTTGAACGTGATTCTTCATGTCTTGTTGGCTCTAGTATTGAATACATATCAGTTTTTCCAAGTCTTTTAGCCATATCTATTAATGTTTCATTTTGTGCACTTACAACATTCATTTGAAATCGATAACTTTTAAGTAAATTTTCTAAAATATATCTATTACCATTTTGTATAACGTAATGTAAAAGAAAATACGTTGAATAAGGAGGTTTTTCATTAGATAAATCAGAATTTTTTTTAAGAATATCATTAACTAAATACCAATTACTTTGTTTAGCTGCTTGAATTAAATCATCTTGAAGAAATAAATGTTCAACATAGGTATACATAGAGCGATAAACTGAGCTTCGTTCTTTAGCAACATCAAGAAGAGTTTTTTGATCCTTTGATAATGTACGAATATTAATTTGATCATCAGAAAAAAGTGCAAGAATACGTTTTAAAAGATTAACATCGCCATTATAAATTACTTGATGCGCAATCGGCCAACTACGTCCTTTTGGAATCGTAAATAAATCTTCAGGATGAAGAAATATAAAACGATAAACTTTATCTGATTCATGACCAGAACGCGCCCAACAAAGGACTGTATCAAGTGTTAGTAATACATCACGTGACGACATAGAAAAGTTGTGAGTTTTTTATTTTTAAATCTAGAAAAAAAGATTCATTTTTCTTGATTCTATAAAAATAAATAAGTAAAATAAAAAAAAAAGGAAAAAAACAGAAGAAAAATTATGAAAGTAATTTTTGTTGTCGAAATTTACTTATGAGATCTCTAGTTGTAATATCATCAATAAATTCATCGTTCATTTGTTCACCTGTTTCTGGTGAAAAACGATTATCAAGAAGATATTGTTTAATAGCAGCACGTTCATATGTTTTTCCATCACTTGCTTTAACTGGATCAACAAATATTNAAGATTAACATCGCCATTATAAATTACTTGATGCGCAATCGGCCAACTACGTCCTTTTGGAATCGTAAATAAATCTTCAGGATGAAGAAATATAAAACGATAAACTTTATCTGATTCATGACCAGAACGCGCCCAACAAAGGACTGTATCAAGTGTTAGTAATACATCACGTGACGACATAGAAAAGTTGTGAGTTTTTTATTCTTAAATCTAGAAAAAAAGATTCATTTTTCTTGATTCTATAAAAATAAATAAGTAAAATAAAAAAATGAAAAAAACAGAAGAAAAATTATGAAAGTAATTTTTGTTGTCGAAGTTTACTTATGAGATCTCTAGTTGTAATATCATCAATAAATTCATCGTTCATTTGTTCACCTGTTTCTGGTGAAAAACGATTATCAAGAAGATATTTTTTAATAGCAGCACGTTCATATGTTTTTCCATCACTTGCTTTAACTGGATCAACAAATATTTTTTTTGTTAATTTGCATGTTAAATTTTTTAATACTTGAGGTGATACTGCTATTGGGGCTGGTGATGGTTGCGGTGGTGGTTGTACTAATATTGTTGTTGGTTCTCGTAGTGATATTGGTACTGGCACAGTAGACTGATTATTTTTCTCTTTAGGAACATCAACAGTATCATCTCGTCGAAAATCTTCACGCAGCTGGCTTGACATAGTAGGTTCTCGTTCACGCACATGCATTTGTAGTAATCGTTCTAATTCCTCAATAAGCTCTTTCTTTTTTCCTTCGTTTGCTAAATCTAAAGCTGTTTTACCATCAGCATTTTGTAACTCAAGTCGAAATGGATTATTTTGTAAATTATATTCATCAAATTTTCTTACATCACCATAGTGAATTAAATGATGTATAAAATAATTTGAACAATACAATGGTTTTTCATTTATTAATGTTGGATCTTGTGCTAACATGGCATCGATAGTTGACCAATCCTCTTTTTTGCATGCTTCAATAAATTTGTCTTGATCAAATAAACGTTTAATATAGCCATATTGATCTTTATAATATTCTTTTCGTTCATTAGCTATATCAAGAATAGTTTTTGGCTTTGGTGTATCCTTTGTTGTTGAACGTATATCTATTGGATTTTCTTTTTCATTGTACAGTGTTAAAATACGTTGAAATAATTGTATATTACCATGATAAATTATCTGATGTCCAATAGACCAAATGCGATGTGGTGATATGAGAAATAAATCTTTTGGATGAAGGCGAATATACTCATATGTTTGATCCCATATTGATGAATCACCAGTAAATCCATTTTTTACTTTTAAATAGATTTGATCATATGTATGTGAGGCATTTGCCATCTGAAAAAAAAATTAAAAAAAAAATAATTTCACTTTATGATTAAAATGAAGACTATTGATAAATAAATAAATGTCATTATTATTTTTGTATTATTTTTTTTGTTTTTCATAAAGTTCATTTAATGCCTGTTTGATCACCATATTAGGTACAAGTACAATATTAGTTAATTCAATATTTGTCATTGGTGAACGTCGGTTACCTAAATCAAGCCATTTTTGTATTGCTGATCTTTCATATGTAAAACCATCAGATAAAACAACAGGATCATGAAATATTTCTTTTGTTAATGGACATGTAAAACAATCTAACATATTATTACCAGCTGTTGTCAGAATATATTTTTCAATTTGTTCATCATGTTTTATGCTTGCTTGATTACGTTTTTCTTTCTCTTTGTCATGTTGTTCACGTATAGCACGCATTTCTGGTGATAATGATTCTAAATAAGTAGCAAATCTTGTATGATTTTGTTCAATGGCAACTTCTGATGCTGTTTTTTTATCATTTGTTAATAATTTCATGTCAAAAGTACACATATTATGAAGTTGATCAAATGCGCCTTTATTATTAGCATAAAGGGTCATTGATAAACGATGTCCAAATAATAAAATTTATTTTTTTGCTTCCTTCCCCTGTCGATGTTCCGACTTTGACTGACTCCCTCGCATGAAACGTCCAATTTCTACAATTTTTTTTCAACGAGCCATTTTGCTCAAATATACTGTTTTTTGTTTTTGTATTAAACGATTAATATGCGTTATTCATTGGATTGAGGACAGTTCCTTGTCAGAACACTTTCTTAGATGAATGTGGATATGAATGTAGAGGAAACCCAGGTTAACACCCACACTCCTTCTCAATGAGATTAGTTGATTATGAAAGTTTTACATTTCCTAGTAATTTTCTTTTTTCGAGATGTAAATATTATATGAACAAAATTTGCTTTTATGCATCAGCAAATATCGAATATTCAATATATTAGGAGAGGAGATGCTAGAAAAGTTACAACTTACTCAATGAACTAAAGTTCTTAAGAACTTTGTTCATGTCAAATTTGAAGTCGAAATTCGAATGTCGATTTTCCACGTAGTCTAACCGGAACCAAAACTGTTTATTGAAAACACCAGTCAAATTTCGATATTTCTAAAACGAAAGTCCGGAAAATCAAACCATTCTAGACTTTTCTATTAGTGACTAGTTCTTATGAAATGAACATTGTTTTAGTCAAGGAGCGATTTGGCACTTGAAGAGGTTCTCATGTGAGAAAATCTGCCAGCTCAAACTTAGCAGACAGCTGTGCGGCAATAGATAAAAAAAATTGCAGACACAACATAACAAGTAGAGAGAACGTTACCCCGTTCTAACTCCTCTTGCATAAAGATCTATAGACAAAGTATTAACATTTAGTTTCCGAAACTTATGAGTCAGGCTAACGATTGTAGTCTGAGATGAAAATCCAAAAGTATGTGGTCTCTACTCACTGAATATCTTTTGTGAATGATTGCTAAGCTAAATGATGAATTAAGTAATATTTTCTATATGGTGGTTTTAGATTAGCTAAATCTTCATCTTGTTGCAGCATTTTTCTACATTCACTTATGTGATTAT